TCACATCAAAGAAAATAAATTACACTTTGCTAAATTTCAAGTTCATCCAAACCACAAAGCTAAATAGGGTCATTGTTATGAATCAGAGGCAGATTCAAAGGTGATGGGGGCCTCACCAAGCACACACCTCTCTAAATACAGCACTGCCCTGAGTCAGTTGGGACTATAAGCAAACCCTTAACCCATGGCCTCACTGTAACATTCTAAATACTGGTTTCCAAAGTTTGTCAAATGGTGTTGAAGTTTACTGAGATCACAGGATCTGTTTCACTAACATCCTGTTCTTCTTGTGATCACATGATCAATTCTGAAACAATTTTAGCAACTAGACTAAAAAAGAGCCGGTCTTGAAGTTCTTCCCTTAGTGATCCTTATGATAAACCTGAGTGTTTTGGTAACATTTTTAAAGCAAATCTGCATGAAAACACTTAAAATTAGGTATCCAATCTTTACGGTTTTGAATGCCATAAAACGTTCATAGTTTTAGAACATTAAAATATGTTATTGTACATGTAAGAATCTTTAAACAAAACAATTTATCGAAGCTTCTGTGGGTCCTGACAAAATTGTGTTTTTCAACATAACAGCCACTATTGGCAATTAAATACTATTTCTGAAAATCAGCAATTTTACTACAACTAACCTTGCAAAATTATCTGTAAGCAGTCTGTACAAACAATATCATAAAAACAAACACTTTTGATAGGACGATGCCAAATATTTTCTCTTTTCAAAAATTTATTTCCTGCAAAGTGTGAAAAAAAAAAAAAATCATCATTATGGCAAGGTACCAGAAAAGACCAAAATGTATTCTAAACTACTCTTCAGATTAACATGATTTTGCTCACAATGGGAGTGGCCAGACAGTGGACAAAACTTTAAGATGATCCACTACATCCACACTTTGGAGGGGACATGCCCATTCATCATAAGAATTGAACATTCAATATATTCCTTAAAAAGATGATTGGGTTATTGAGGTTTATATAAACTGTTTTTTTCTCACCTGTGTAACCTAATCACATACTTAAACAATTCTTTGAACCACTTACAAAAACATGCACATCTCTTTCCGTTACTATCGTCCCAGGTGAGACAAAACTTACCTGAGTGGGCTGCTCACACCGGGTATTGGGTAGGTAGATAAAACCCTGTTTTTTTTATTTTTATTACACAGCTGAAGTATTATAAATATCTAGCAAAAAATTTAGCTCAAACCACTGCTAAGGGCAATCTTGAACTTGCAGCGAGGCTAATGTTGGACTTGTCTTATCCAGAAAATAAGAATGTTCAGATCCATTTTGTTTCAGAAAAAAGGATGAGAACCCTTCATTTGAATTTATGGCCAAAATACATCACCTACATGTATGATAATGTATTTTGACTGAGAATTAACAAGGATTTGAATTATTTTAAAGAAAATTCAATGATCACATTTTACACATTTTCCTAATATTTATATATTCTAAGTAAATGTATTTTCATATTCAAATGGTTATACAATTGTAAATGTAAATTGTTGCATTAAAGAATTAAAGTATAGTCTCCAATTTCATGTAGATGCAATAAAATTGAGAATGGAAGACTGTTTCTATTGGAACATGGGTCTTGAAGTTTGCCAATAAATTGTGCAAATTATGGACTTGAACAAGATAATATTCAGTCATGTCAAATATTTTTCTAGCACAACATTTATTGGTTTGCTTGTTACTGTTAGTCATATTTTGCTTAAAAAAACAGGGAGACAACTCATGAAATACACATATTTAGAATTCAATAAGCATGTTAAAAGCAAAATTATATAATTTATACTGAGATCTAAAGCCTCCTGTTAAAAATGGTGCTATTTAGTTTTGGTATTTCCTTTGTGTATACATATTCATATTTCATGTAATGTATTTTAAAATACACCATACCAATCTTTTCCAGTGGACAAGGTTACCTTAACCTTTTTGATGATAGGTTGTTGACAAAGTTCCTTGGTTAATTGTATCATTCCATAATTTAATGTCCAGTGGCAAATATTACAATCCTTTTCAGCACAATAATACATGTACATGTAGCTGTTAATGTCTCCTGAAGATTACCCCAAACCTGCTTTATATTAGTTGCTCAAACAATGATTTAGATGTTTATTTTAAATCGATAGTTTACAAGATGCTGTTTAGTGGTAGACATTTCACCTTAGAGAAGCACATCCTGATTTTAACATTCTTAAAATCCTCAATCATGTCAATGCTGTGTTTGGCACAAAATCAGATACTTCTTCATGTATGAATTGAAGTAGGTGATATATACATATTTTTTATTATATAATAAGCATCCATCCTTGAAGGCTAATGTGTGTTCCACTTATTCCATTATCCATCTGGCCCTGATTCAGTTAGGCCAAAATGGTGTGTTTTGAGGTAACTTATTGTACTACAGGTTACATATATATAACAATCGCAAGTCCTTTGTCTTCAGTAAATTCAGCTTTTGACAGTAATTAAGAATTCACAAATCTAAGAGAGCGATTAGTAATACCGGTTTGTGATCATGACTAGACAAATTTTAACAGTTGAAGGTCTAGAGCCTCTGGTCCTGTGTAGTCCACTGCAGCAATCAAGACAATCACCATACATAATTTCAATGATGTCTGACTCAACTATCGAATCAATAAAGTAAATGGAACGGAACCAAAACAAATAAAAATTTTATGATTAACTATACAATACTCTCTCAAATGTCTTTAAATTTGCTTTTATTCTAATGGGCAATTTACAATCAAATGCAACAAAACTTGATATAACTTTATCAGAAAATGGTAGCTTTAACCAATGTTATATAAAAAGTATGGATGTGGAAATTATTGAGTTGTATGATTCTCATGAATCATGAAGTGACAGGAATTTAATGCAACTTGGCCTCTACACAGCATCTGAGTATGAACTATAAAAAAAAATGTGGCAAGAAAAGATAACTTAATATCCGACATGACCTTTGTCTCAAACAAATGATTACTGTATAGGATGGATCTTTATTGACCTTTATAATTTAATTGTCGATATAAACATAGTTCGCGAACAAAGCAACATATTTTAAATCTAGAATTGCATAAGTACTGACCTGATAGATCAAACGAGTTGCAAGTTTCTGAACTCATTGTCATTTGGATCACCATTTAATATTATCTTCTGTAAATAATCTGACAATTTAACCAAAACAGTAGCCAATCCAACTTCCTCCTCCGCCTACACAGCAGCGGCCATTACAAGATGTAATTATCCAAGGGGTTCCGAATGCCAAGATTGTCTTACGTATTTTCGTCCCTCAATTGAATAAGGATGTACCGGCCAGCACGTACTGTCTACGAAGCAAATGTGTTGACCTGAATTTTCGTCGCTCACATTATTTTTCTATAATCACACATTAAAAATGTTTTGAAAGAGTTTATTTTTTACAAATCAGGAGTTGATAGATGCCAGACTTGTCTGGAGACTCTGCAATATAAGAAAAATTCAAATTCATACAAATTCATTCAAATCTATTCAAATTCATTCAAATCCTTTCAAAATCATTCAAATTTATTCAAATTTAAAACTTAATTCAAATTCCAGTTAAAATCGTAATTAAACTTCAAATTCAAATTCAAATTCAAATTCAAATTTAAATTCAAATTGTTCATGTTCATGTTCAAATTCAAATTCAAATTCAAATTAAAGTTAAAATCGAAATTAAACTTCAGAGTCAAATTCAAATTCAAATTCAAATTCAAATTCAAATTCAAATTCAAATTCAAACTCATGTTCAAATTCAAATTCAAATCTTAATTCAAATTAAAGTTAAAACCTAAATTAAGGATTAGAGTCAAATTCAAATATTCAAATTCGAATATGTTTATTCTTATTGTAGGACCTGCAGAGGATATTTCAACTAATCACAAAATAAATCACAAAAAAAAACTGAATACAAATAACAACTACCAACCTTAAACATTCTTTGTTATCAATTAGTTATGGTTTTAAGTATTACGTAGATTAAAAACACCTCATATAATGATATAATGTATTAGTTCAGTACGTTGCAGTTCTTACATTGGTACTGGTATCTCCTGAGTTTTTAAAGATCATTTGAAATATTGCTGTCTTTGTCCCCCTTCCCCATCCGACATTTAAAACCTTCAAATTTAGTTTCAATGTTGGAAAATATTATTTAAAAATGGAAGGTAAATTACGTTTAATAGTCCGTTAGCTATCAAATACGATTACTAACCATGTGTCAACATTTATTTGTTCTTACTAATAACTTTCAGAAGTTCCTACGGAAAATTTGTTAAACATTTGTAAAAAAAAAAGATGTTATATTTCTCACAGAGGAAATAAGTACAGAATATTTATTCCATTTGGAATACATATCATAATGGAACTTCAATGCCATGACACATGCAATGTAGAGATGTACCGTTAATTTATTCTATAAGTAACTAGTTTTAAAATAGTTACGATGGCGCATCAGTGGCAATGAAAACTCTTCAATAAAAGACAGTCGAAAGATACCAAAGGGACATTCAAACTCATTAATCGAAAATAAACTGAAAACGCCATGGCTAAAAAAGAAAAATACCAACAGACAAACAATAGTACACAAAACACAACATAGAAAACTAAAGACTGAGCAACACGAACCCCACCAAAAACTGGGGTGATATCAGGTGCTACGGAAGGGTAAGCAGATCCTGCTCCACATATGGCACCTGTCGTGTTGCTCATGTTAGTACTAACACGGTGAAACGGATATTCAATAATTTATCCATTTTCTTATAGATGAAAATTAATATAACTGTTGCAGTTATATAATTAAGATGTCATATATTCCAATGAAACAACATTTCAACAGCAATGATAAAAAAAAAAAAAAATAGAGATTGTTCGAGACGGTGTGAATACTAGGGTCGAAATTGTAAAAGGGACGAAAACATATTAATTTCAGAAAGATGAGTCAACGATGACCAGTCAAAAGATATTCCGAAAGAAGATTAAAAATGGAAAAACGAAAGGGGAGAATCAAAGAAAATATTAAGGCACACCTTCTTGTTATGTGAATGCACAGAGTATACAGTATGTTTCTTTCCACTGTTTTCAGTAACTAATCATTTGAACACGTACAGATTTTGACAAAGTAATTTTGAAGGGAGTCAGAGGCGTGTTTGAAAGCAGATTCGACAGTTTGATTTGCCATTGGGCTATTCCAGAAATAATCCATCCCCCCCCTATGGAAGACATTGGAATTCCAGATTTTTTTTTCTCAATTTTTTCTAAAATTCCAGACAAATTTCCAATCTGCACAAAAAATTTCCAAACTTCTTGTCTATTGGTGCACAAGAAATTCCATGAATTTTCCAAAGGGTAGAGTAATTTCCACATAATTTTTACTGGTAGTCGTTAAGAATTTCCAGAACAGAAATACTTGGCAACCCATTATTTCCAGGTATAAAACACAAGAGTTCTGATCAATTCTTTATGTATGTTCATCTCTTAAAAGACTTCAAAATAATGGGGGAGGGGACAAAACTTTGATACAGTGATAGTATAGTTTAAATTTAAAGAGCAGGAGCATTCAAAATATTGTTTTATTCATTTTATAAGTTGCACTTTGTAAATAAAGCTTTTTCACAGACTGTCTCTTTTGGAGAGATATATATATATTATTCGTAGATATTTTGTTTTGTGTATGTACTAGTTCCCAGATATGATTTTGTGGGGTAGAGATACTACAGAATTTAGTATTTATTTGTTTAAACTCTTTAGAAGTTTGTGCATGTAAATGTTAAAAGTATATGCTGCACAGCCCTTTGTTTTGACCTTTGAATAAAATAGTAGTACATATCAACAACTTTCCATTTCAGGATATAATTAAATTTTTACGAAACTTCATAGTACAAGAGGCACAGTTTTAGCTGTAAAGGTACCCGTAGTTCCTATGGGAAATTGCATTGTCTTTATTTACAGAAGTGCAACCTATATTCTATCTTGAATTGTTTCATATATATATACAAAACTGTTGAATGTTAATCAGGTGCAAATGTCACAATAATTGGATTAATAGCATATATGACTACTCACTAGTGGAAAATTATATCACATGGAAAGATAAAAACAGAGAAAATTTGGTTTGATCATGGAAGTATTATATATTAAATATAATACTTTTATGGTTTGATAAATATTGAATGCCTTAATGACCTTTGTTAACACATCAAAAATATATCTTGACATATGATTAAATGTAGCTTCAGACACTTGTGATGTAATATATATAATCAAGGAGATGATAATTTCAACCAAGTTATGTATTAAAATCTGTATTTTTCACCCTTTTCATATATATTAAAGGATTAATTAACACCAATAAATTGTGCAATTTGATATCCTAAATTTTATGATGAAATTTAGGGTTTGTCCTATAACATCAACTAATGCCAGATTTTAGGTCACTTTAAATAGCCAGAACATTTACCAATTAACAGATAATTGATACATCATTTATTCAAACACACTTGTTTGTCTTCACAGCAGGAAATTGTCTAATTACCACAATATTGTAGAAGACTGACCAGAAATGACCAGCTGTGGACTATGACTCTACTATGGTTTGCAAAATACTGCTACAAATAAATAGATTGTTATCAGAATCAGTGGAAAACTGTCTCCTGACTTTTGAATTTACATTAAGAAGATCCCCCCTTTTTTTAAAATTAATAGTCTTAATACAAGGCAATAGTTGAGTATTTGTGGTTAGTGTTTTATTTTCACACGAAAGAATATAACTAAGATATGGAAAAGGGATATGAATAAGAAATGACTGATGTTTTTAAAAGAAATAAGTTTTGAAAATTTAAAAAGTTGATAAAAATTCTTTTCACAAAAAAAACCCTGACATTCCTAATATATACCCTGTTTAATTATTTATTTTTTGTCTAGCCTGCCACTAGTCGGCAAAGCTAGACATATGTAGCAATCCTTCACTCTAGCATCATCAACATTTAAGTTCATTTTTAAGTTAATTTCTATTTTTTTAAACGACAGAAGCTTTGTTAAATCTTCATGGAATTCTGCTTAACTGACAGACACTTCTTCTATACATTGATCATGAAGATAGCATCCAGAGATTTTTATTCTTTTTTTCAATATTTCATTCATTTAATGGACCATGGAAAATGAATATAATACTTCAATGAATGGACTATTTAGATATAAGAAGATGTGGTATGAGTGCCAATGAGACAACTCTCCATCCAAGTCAAAATTTATAAAAGTAAACCATTATAGGTCACAGTACAGTCTTCAACACAGAGCCTTGGCTCACACCGAACAGTAAGCTATAAAGGGCCCCAAAAAATTACTAGTGTAAAACCATTCAAACGGTTTATTTTGCACTAACAAGGTATACATGTACAAAACTTTAATTTTTTCAAAATACCAAGGATTTTTTTATTCCAGGAATAGATTACCGTAGCTGTATTTTGCAAAACCTCTATGGAATTTTGGGCCAATGCTCTTCAACTTCATAATTTATAAATTATTAGGTCTTTTATTAAACTTTTTGATTCAATCATCACTGTTGAGTATTTTGTAGAGAGAACCCTATCTGGTGTACACAATTTTAAGCCTGGTATCAACAATGTGGTTTTTTAAACAGTCTGAGGGTTAAGCTTTTTTTAAGACTTCAATAACTTTGTCAAGCATTATGGAATAGTTGATATGTTGATTGGTGTTTAATGCCACTTCAGCACTATTGTGCTATTTTGTGGGCCTGGCTGTCAGTTTTTATTGGTGGAGGAAGCCGGAGAAAAACGACCTTCTGTTGGAAAACTAACAATCGGAATCCTAGTAAATTATGATTGAAGTTGAGGGCACTGCCTTGTGTAGGAATAGTTGACAGGCCAATGCAGTGGCGGATCCAGAACTTTTTGTAAAAGGGGCGGGGGGCACTGACTAACCTAGCTGACTTAAGGGGTTGGGCTGCTCCAGTCATGCTTCATTGATTACCTATATAAGCAACCAAATTTTTCCCACCAAAAGGGGGTCCCTTCCCCTAGATCTGCCTATGCAATGAGCCAATGATACAGTGTTAGAATACTTAAAACACTTGGGCACTAAAGCCCTTATTTTTGTTCAATAAACATTTAGATACAGCCTAGGGTTGAATTTAGCAAAATATCAATAACGTCCTCAAACCTTTAAGCAATATCAGGAAACTTTTAAAGAAGATTCTTCATACTCTATAATTACCTGACATGTTGACTAAAAATTATAATTTTTTTATGCATTCTTCCATAATTTACTTATCAATAATTATTTTGCAGTCAACCTTTAGGTATTAAAATGAAAGTTCTTGAATAACTTTGTCAAACCTTCATGAAATTTTACAAAACTTATAAAAATTAGACAGAAGCTTCTTCTTAAATCAAGAGAAAGAACCCGGAGCAAATTTTGATTTTATTTTTAAAGTAAAGATATAAACATGTCTTGCAATAATTTAAACTCAAGAGATAAGGGTCATATTGCAGATGGGGATTTAGAGGGAGGTCGCGCCTTATAAAGCTACCACTAAGCTAATAAGCAACATTTTAATTCAACAAATCACATTATTAAATAGTTAACATGATTGATGAATAGTGCAAACATCCAAGTATGAGCAATATTTCATCTAAATTGTTTGTAATCAGCGGGCCATGGTGATCCTTTAAGCTAACTGCAAACTAGTACATGTATTATTTGCAACTTTTGATATAAAGATTTATAGTTTAGAGCACAATGCGCAGAACGGTGATTTTTTTTTTCATTCAGTAAAACAAGTAAATGTGTCCAAAGCACTCGCACGATTGTTTTCTGTGTTTTGGGATAATTTCATAGAAATATGATCCAATATCCACCTTACCTATAATTTTTAGTGCAAATCATTTCTCTGGCCTTTCATTAATACTGTGTAGCAATGTTTTTGGTTTTTCCGGAAATGTGTTAATTTAAGGGAAACTTTCAGCAGAGACCACCCCTTCTGTTTTTCATTTTTTTTTAATACTGTTTTATTTTTTATTTATTTTTCATAATTTTATAAAATTTGTTAATTTGAATTTGAATTTAAATTTTGATTTTCTGATTTTCTAACTATTTCAACCAATTTCAATAAATGTTGAATTAAATGTTTAATAGTAAGAATTTTGTCTTATAAGAATATTTGTTTACATGTGTGGTTTTAATGATGATGGTCATTAATTAGTTCTGCACAGTGAGAAATTTTGTAGGAACTGTGATGTTTTATAGCTCATTTCACTAATTCACCAATGTTCTATTTCTTTTGAATCTTATGGATAGGTTTTAATGGGATATAGCACCTATTGTAGAATCTGTTTTAATAAGATGCCAGTATTTCCTGAATACTTTTTGAAGTTTTTCTGCTTGAGAATGATAATATGTAATGAATGATACATTACATCTATTTTCAACTTCCTTCTTTTTCTTTATTTTATCTTAAAATTGAGAATGGAAATGGGGAATGTGTCAAAGAGACAACAACCCGATCATAGAGCAGACAACACTTGTCTGTCTTGGAATTTGACTTTTGATAGAATTTGTTTTACCAATTTCAGTTAATAAAATAGTCTTTTTTTCTGGTTTGTGTTTCTAGGTAAGTGAATAAATTTGCCTTTAATATAGGATTTAAAGTTCCAAATAGGGTGGTTTGAGTTTTTAAGAAGATATTGGAATTTTTCTGTATTTTTTTCATAGAATTTCATATCTAAAACACCAGTATGTTCATGTTTTTGTCTTTGAAGATTTCAAGGTCTAGAAATTTTATGGAATGCTTATTGCATTCATAAGTGAACTTTAGCAGGTAGTGTTGTTGAATAACTTGCATTTTCAAACAGGAAATCCAATTTCAATAAGTGGTAGGGATGAGCCGGTCACCATGGTCACTATTTCAAGCTTCATTACATATCTCATGATAAAATCTGGAAATTTAGATGAAGGTCAAGTTTTAAACTTGCCTGTTTAAATCACAAGTGTCTGAAACTAATTAGATATCAGAATCTTTTGATGTTTGTAAATGTTTCCAA